CTCCTATGTCAGCACCCCCACCTCGTGTGCCTGACGTCCATTTTCTCACTCACAAACTCTTCGTTCTCCCTCTTTCCCTACCCCTGTTCCTGTTCAGTCATTTTACATCTTCTTCCATCATTTTCTTCTTCTTGAGACAGGGTCTCCCCAATGTAGCCCAGGCTGGCCTGAAACTTACCAGTTAGACCAGGCCAGCCTCAAGTTCTCAATCTTCCTACCTCCCAGTGCTGAAAATACAGGTGTGTGCCATTACATATGTCTTCATTGTCTCCACTGTTACGTACTGGCCCCTCTAAGTCTGTGCTGGCTACGTCAACCTCATGCTGTAACTAGTGCGCGCGCTCTCTCTGTCTCTTTCTTTTTTTCTTATCACATATAATAAGCGTGCTGATTCTAACAGCCTCCCTTGCCTCACACACACCAACCCTATAACACAAGTCACTATCCGTTTAGCCTGTTTAATATTGAATTCCCAGAATGCTTCTCGGAGGCTGGAAGGATAGCTCAGCTGTTAAACACTAGGCTCAAAAGCAAAAAGACAGAGAAGGGGGCCAGAGGAAGCCCTGGTTTCCTGGCAGAAATCTTCACCTTTGTTAGTCCCAGTGGGGGGGACTCAGGTCTGAGCTGATACAGAGAGGGATTTTGCCTGGAGGTTTGAGGTAGAGAGGGCCAAATCTGGGTCAGTGGAAAAGGAAATCTGATAAACTTATTCAGGCTCAGCCACTCCTCTCTCCCTCCCTCTCCGCTCCCTCTCTCTCCCTGCCAAGTAATTTGTATCTTCAGTCTGAGTCAGGGAGTGACCTGAGTTTAGGTTCAGTAGCAGAGCTGGTCCATTTAGTTCCACAGATCCGAGGAGCCTTGAGACATGCTGAATGCTGACGGAGAATACTAAGAAGACGTTTTGTTTAGCCTTTTTGCTTACTGGGTGGGATTCCAAGGCCTGGAGTAGGGAGGTGCCTTTCTTTGTTCAGGTAAGAAGACAGATTAGTAAGTGCTCAGCCCTAGCAACAGGCCACTATGTGACCTTATAATCCCTGCAGCAGCTAAGGGAGGCTGCGTAGTCACGCTGGTGCGAACACAGTCAGCGCTCCAAGAAGAACGGAAGCCGCCTTCTGAGAATATTGACATTGTCACTGCTCCAGCTGGGAAAACTTTACCCCAACTTAGGCCAACTTCTACATTTCTTCTTTTGAGGTCTCCCAGGCCCATCTCTCCTTTGAGCTCCTCTTCCTTCTCCCGGAAGCCTCCCTGACTCCTACACAGAACACATAGCTTGCATATTGGTGCAGTCACCTGCAAAGGCTGAAGGGATCTCAACGAAGGTTGCATTCAAACGTCACGGCGGATGGCACCACTCATGAACGAAGCAAGAGAGGATGAAAGGTTTAATTGTTTACACAATGTCAGTCTCTGAGGTCAGCAGCTCCCAAATGGCTTGAGAGGCAGGAAGGAGAATAACGTGGATTTTCACCATGGTTGGGGGTGGTGGTGAAGGTTCACTCGGGGAGGGGCTCTATGACTCTCCTTCCCTCAGACAATGAAAGAGAAGCCCTGTCCATGCTCGTGGGCTTGTCCAGGTGTGAGCCATTAGGGACGAGAACAGGGAGGGGCTTAAAGGCTGCAGGAACACATCAAAAGCTGAGCCGAGGCCCATCCTTTCACACACATCCTGTGTTTCTAGGCCGATCCATTCTCCAGGAGGAAGAGCTGATGATGTAGAGGCAACTGCATGGATGAGATGAAGCCCTTGAGATAAAGTGCTCAGGAACGAAGAGTTTCAGCCCTCCGGCACAGAACTGGAAGTTCTCTCTCCCGATCTCCAGCCTTGACTTAGGCAGCTCATGTCTCCATCCCAGTCCATCCCCCATAGGTCTGCCAGACACTTCCCACATTCCTCAGCTGGGTCTGTCTTCTACTGCTCTCCCAGCTCCTGCTCCCACATTCCCTCTGGACACTCCTTTAGACTGGAAATGTCATCCCTCATCCCTTTCCTGCTCCTGGTCCCCAGATCGGACATGCTGGTCCTTCCTGTTTGGGATGGTTTACTAGATAAGGCCTGGCATGGAGCCCATCTGTCATCATCACATGACTCAAAGCTATTTTGGGCAGGACCCTTGCCTATGTCGAGTGTCCACCCTGGCCGTCCTGGCCCTGGCTATCAACACTCCTCCAGGAATAGGGCCAAGAACCAAGAGAGAGCAATCCAGAAGGGCACATGCAACGGCTCAACTTCCATCTAGCTTCCTGTTCCTTGACCCCAGATGTCTTTGGTAGCTCTAGCCCACAAGTCAACCCATGAGAGAGACTGAGTGGCCCTGGAAGTCATAGCTCTCAGACTAGTACTGTTCCGAGGGCAGCCAGGGACAAGTGTCTGTTCCCAAATGCCACAGAGAAAATTGTTATCGCAGCTGCTCTTGTTTAGGTATGTCTGACTGTCTGAACAACATCTGCCTGGAGTTGGTCTCTTAAAGACACAGCTGTGGTCAGTGGCTCTAGTCCCAGCTCTGCCTTACGCCCTTCCCATGAGCTCTATGACTTTGGACATCCAGGTCCACTCCTGAAGCGTTGCTCCCTCACGAGTCAAACAAGGATGACAGTCCTGACTTTCAGAGGGCACCTGGAAAGATGAAGTAGGTCTGCACATTAAATGATTTGTAAGACGTGAAGCCAGAGGCCACTCCCCAGGTGCCAATCCTCATGTCATGCTCCTAACTGCACCTGGATAAGGATGCTCGATGCTCAAAAGCCAATATTCTGAGGCTAGCCTGGGCTACATGGCAGAAGTCATACCAGGCTGGCAAGATGCCTCAGCATGTAAAGCACTTGCTGTACAAGGCTGATGACCTGAGTTTGACCTCAGAACTCATGTAAAAGTGGAAGGAAGAACGGCCTATCCCATGAGGTGGTCCTGACTTCCATATGCAGACTGAAGCATGTTCTATATGCTGAGTGAGTGGTCTTTGCCACTTACAGCTTACATTTCTGGGATTTTTTTTGTGTGTTAGTTTAGCTTTTCCCCCTCTGCCCAGAACACTGCAATCCACTTTATCTCCTGGGACTGGTACCTGTGTGTTCCGAAAACAGACCCGTGTCTTATCAGGAGCTAAACAGCCCAGGAGTGAATATGCGTTAGTTTGTATGCAAAGACAAGGGAGCTGGGTTACAAAGGTCATCAGATCTTCTGGTATCTGCAAAGCTGAAGGAAGGTAGATAGTTTACCAGTTGCCATTTTAACCATTTAGGCGGGGCATCTAGTTAGAATTCGCTGTGCCAGGAGGGAAGTAGTAAGTAATGGCTGAGGACACTCCCGAAGGAGGGGCTCTGTCACACCAAGTCTCAACAAAATCTGATGTCTCCTAAGTGTTAATCATTAGCATAATGGGTTAAGAAGGGTTCTGGGGTTAGATATTATGCTATTAAAATCCTAGCTGTGTGGCCTTAGCCAAATATCGTAACTTCCCTGAGCCTTGGTGTTCTCATCTTAAAGCAGAGCTAACACCTTGATGACTGGTGTAAGGATTGAATAATCGTAGAACACGCCTTCCAGTGGCTCACCTCTGCTTTCCCATCTTTCTTTTTAACTCCAGATTCATCTGGGCTGCTCTTGCACCAACGTGGCCACAAGGGGCTGAAAAGATTTCAGACTTACTGTATGCAGGAAGAGTTCCAGGGTTGTGTATCCAGGGTTGTGTTTGATGGAGGGACAGCTCTGCTCCTATATGTAAATAGAGTGACAGGTACATACCTGGATTTACACAATGGTGGCAATGACAAACTGTCAGTAATTGTCATTAGCAAAAGGACAGCATGGTCTATAAGGGCTGCAACTTTGAGTGCAAGGGTTAAGATCATCTGTGTGGAAACGGTCGTACCTTCTAAGGTCACACTGTACATATAAGGAATCAGACCCAGAATGCACTGGCTTCTCAAACACCAGAGCAGAATCCCATTGGATGGGTCCATTTTCTGCTTTCCCTTTCCCTTATTGTATGTATATGACTAGTGATACATACATATATACATGCATACACACACATATACACATACATACACTTGTATAATCTATATTGCCTTGAAAAAGCAGTACTTGTAAAGCAGTTAGCATAATGCCTGCTGCATGTGCAGTTCTTATTCAATTATAAAAACATATAGAAAACGATGCTCAGGGAAAATGAGTCTTTGTTGCATTAGGGGAAATCTGAGTTAGACTTAAATAAAAAAAAAATCCCATAATGATCTCTTGGAATTCCCTTTCAGTTTGATTCTTTCCCGTACAGTGAGATCTTTGAGTTTAGCCCACCTGTCTCCACTGGGCATCACAACTGTGAAGGTTGAGGTCCCATTCACTGCTCTTAGAGACAAAGGGTGCTCTTTGCTAATTACAATTTCTGATGGGTTGTCATCACCATCGCTAAATATCTGTCTGGCTTTGCGGAGGAGCCGCTTCCAGCTGGGATCAGGATGAGAGGAGGCAGGTGGGCAGGAGAAATACTCCTTTATACATAACATTGAGGGCACTTAGCACGAAGAAGTTAAGTCCGGAGACCTGCAGTCACCTCTTAAGAGACTTGCAGCGCTGCGAAGGTCCGCATTCCAAGCAGCCGAACATAAACGACCGTTCCCCAAAGAGCCTGGTTTGTCCAGCGGGAGATCGCGGTGCTGGCTGTGCCTTGAACAGCCTTTCCAGTTGCAACCGCTGCGAAGCGCCAGGCAAATCCCACCTCCAGCCCCGCCCGTCCAATCCGTCTTGTAGTGAAGGCAAGGCTCCTAGGAAGAAGCTCGCCGCTGGAAGGGGAAATCCAGGCTTTAAGGGTTCCCGACAGGTGTCTGAGAGAGAGGGCGGAGTCGCGATCCGATTGATGGAGAGGGAGGGGCGGCGCTGCCCCTTTAAGAGGCGGCGGCCGAGCGGGGACCTTTTCTCTTTCCCCGGAAGGAAAGCGGAGCCCGGACTGGGCGCGCAAGGTGGGGAGGTGCGGGGCTGGGCGGTGGGGAGGCGGGGCGCGCGCCGGGGAGGATCCCTCCCTCCTGCCCTCCTGGCGATCTAGTGCTTGCCTTTCTAGATCCTCCACCTAGCAGAGATCCAAAGAGCTAACACCTTCAAGGGGGCGCGGCAGGGACCATCTAGGGTGCGGGGTGCCCGGAGCCCGGAACGGTGACCGGTCCAAGGGACCAACGGGAGAGTAGATCCACGGATCTGGAAAAAGGACTGGAGAAGCACCCGGAGCAGACGTGAAACTGACCCGGACTAGGGCAAAAAATTGCCTGACTCCGGGTGCAGCGGCTCTGCGGGCTCGGGTGTCCTCTGGCGGCTCCTGGAGCAGGTGAACCGTTCATCACTCCGGTGCCGAGCCCTCTAGCGATTTCGCCCGGCCCGGCCCGGCCGGCAGCCATGGGCCCCGGCCCTCGCCGCGCGCCCCGGGACCCTGGCTGGATGCTCCGCGCCCTGGCCTTGATGGTGGCAGCTATCGGCCGGGTCGCCTTTGCCTTCAACCTGGACACCCGATTCCTGGTGGTGAAGGAGGCGGTGAACCCCGGTAGCCTCTTCGGCTACTCGGTCGCCCTCCATCGGCAGACTGAGCGACAGCAGCGCTACCTGTAAGTCAGCCTGGCGGCGATGAGGTGGGGTGCAAGAGGGGCATGTGCGGGGATACCTGACCTAAGCTAAACTGGAGCTCCAGGCCCGCTGACTTCCAGGCCTGCTACTGCTGGCCTTTCCTTGTGAGGCAGGATTAAGAGGGCGGGTACGACGGCAGCCCTCAGATTGTGGGGCTTGGCGGCAAGTGGAGGATGGAGGGGGGGGGCGGCAGTAATCTTGGCAAGTGCTGACCTGGCCAGAACCTGTCTAGACGCAGCCGCTCCACGCTTCAGACATCTTCGGAAGTAGGGTCTTTGTTGCCCAGCACCCTGAGAATCCAGTACCTAACATTAGCTACTTTCCCTGGCTAGGAGAACTCTGTACATTAAACACCTACTACATCCCTCTTCCCCTCCTCCCGGAGAGAACCCGAGAATATACGCGTTTAAGCCCCTATTAGTCCTCTCATTTAGCCTGTGGCCAGAGCAGCCACGCCCTCTGCAGAACCAGGCTGGATCACACTTCTCAAGGGCTTGGCATTGCCGAGTGAGGTGATGAGGAGGCTGGGCGTTCGGAGCTGTCCAGAGGCTCCCTCTGACCCCTAGAGGAACGGACAGTAGAAGACAGAGGAGGAGCTGTCTTAAGCCTCCGAGGCCTGAGCCCACCCGGAAGCAGTGGGGGTCCTCCCACCACGTCTCCCTGCATTCCACAGATTCATGTTGAATCAGCAGCCCTGAGTGTGTGTTTGTTTTGGTTTGAAGAGGGAGATGGTGTTTTCTCTTTTCTTCTGCTCTTCTTTGCAACAGCTGCAAGAAGCGGGAAGAGCCTGGCAGAGTGGAGGAGGGGAGGAGATCGTATCCAGCCACCTGCCCCTCCTTAGGCACACTCATACCCAACGGGTCATGTCCAGGTGTCTGAGGTTTCTCTGCATGGGTGCTGTGTGCTGAGGTTGGCTAGCTGAGGGAAGAGGGTGGCCAGAACAGGTGAAACTGCCCAGGGAGGGACAGTGGTGATCAAGCATAAGCCCCTGCTACCTTTTTGAGCTGGGTAGCCTGCCAGGCCTACCCTGCCTCTGACAAGTTACTAAATCAGAAGACACAGTCAAGATAGAAGTGTTGAAACCTCTCCCTGCTCTGACTGGGGCCTGGAGAAACTTGAGGAAGGTTGGAATGTTCAAAGTCCAACTCAACTTCAGTCTTTGCCTCTGCCCTGCTGGCCCAGCCCCTGTCCGGACTGCCCACCTGGACTTGGTCTCTACCCTACCTGGCCCCTGCAGAAGCAGGTGGATCCACCACACCCTTCCTGCCCTGACCGGGCAGATTTAACCTTCTACCTTTCTGAGGCCCTCTGATGATAGATAGTTGCTACAGCAGTGCCGCTGCCTCCCCCAGCCCAACACAGAGTTTTCAGATGTTCTGATGTTGAATGCGCATGGCCGGAGGAACTAACACAACAGAAGAGATTCTGCAACACCTCCTTCTCTGTTCTGTGACTTTGAGGACGCTATTACCCTCTCAGGGGCAAGTTTCCCCCTGGGTGAGGTTATACCTGGACCTGTATGCCCCCTCATTTCTCTGCTGGCCTGTGAGAGGCACCTTGGCATTGTAGAGAGCGAAGCTGACCGCTGCCGTGTCTTGGCTCTGGCTCTAACACCTGAGCCTTAGTTTCTCCAGTCATGGAGAACACACCTTTTTAGAGTTAGTAGTACTTTAGTGTGATAGTGTGTCTAGAATGGTCCTGGCGTGTCCACTTCTCCAGTGGACACCAGAAGGCTCTGGGGCTGAGACTGGATGGAAGTGTACTTCTTTCACCTATGGGTCCTACCCAAGTTGGCCACATGAAAGGCTTCTGCTCTCCTCTCCAGGCAGCTGAAGAGAACGCCGAAACTTACCGACCTCTGAGGGCAGGTTGTTCTGGCCAGATGGGTCTTCTCTGTCTTGTCCAGAGCTGCTTCTGTGTCTCGGCTCTGTCTTCATCTTGCTGAATTCAGCTCTCCATCCTTTTGGGAGAAGCAGCTGGGATTCACTATAGCCAGCTGCATAGCCAGATGTGAACAGCTGCCCAAGCGTTCTAGGGAACTAATACATCAAACTGCAGCCTCAGATTCTCTCAGTCTCAAAGTGTCTTTGGAAGAGTCGGGGTGGCTCACAGTCCTTCCTTTGGGGTCTGCTAGCTCTTCAGAGAGCCCAGAGAGTGTACACACAACCATAGGATTGTATACAGTCTCTAGGAGTTCAGGGAGGGAAAGCATAGCTTCTATGTTCTTAAAGATTTCGGCCTAGAAGTGGTTAAAACTCCAAGATAGACTCTTTATCTCCATCCTGGGGTACCCCACCCATAACCCAGGTTCACAGAACTCAGTATCTGATAGTAAAAATCTGGGGCAGTCAGGTGGTGGTAGTGTATGACGTCAATTCCAGCACTCCGAAGGTAAAGGCAGGTGGATCTCTGTGACTTTGAGGTCAGCCTGGTCTACAGAGTGAGTTACAGGGCTACAAAGAGAAATCTTGTCTTGAAGAAAACAAAAACAAATCCCCAAAGCCAAAGCTCCTCCCCAAACAAAAACAAAAGGCAACAACACCTCCCCCAATGGATAGACCACTCACTTCAGGTCTATCTAGCTATCTATCTAGCTAGCTAGCTAGCTAGCTTTCTGAGACATGGTCTCTTATGTAGCTCTGGCTGTCCTAGAACTCAATTTGTAGACCAGGATGGCCTCAAACTCAAAGAGATCTATTGGCCTTCCTCTGGCTCCCAAGCTACCATTAAGAGCTTGTGCCATCCTGTCTGGCTCACCATTGTTCCATACGCCCCCTTGGAGGGAGAAGAGCTGCTCATCTGGGAGGTGGTAACTGACCCTTCCTGCACCTGCTCTGCTCTGCTCTTGCTCTGGCCTGATCTCATTAGCTGGATGTGGAGATTCCTCTGGGCTCCCCTCCCTTTCACTATTGGAAGTGAGGGTGTCTGGGAAACCTGGGAGGGAGCGGCTCCTGGAAATGAGGTCATGCTTGAGGTAGGCCGGAGCCTGGCTCACCTGCTGTGCTCTCTTGAAACATGCTCCCTGGGGAGGGCAGGTTCCTGGCAGCCTTCTCGGCTCGTGCCAGTAGGAATGGTACAGCAGCTGTGGCTGTGGGCACAAGGCCTGAATGTGGTTTATCCTTATCTTCTGGCCTTCTCCAGTGGCCACTGTAGGCCAAAGGACTGTAAGATGGGAAGGAGGTAGAGGAGGGCAGAAAAAGAAGCAGCGAAGAGGGATTGGCATCCGGAGGGGTATGGTGGGGTGCTCCACGACTCAGAGAGGAAGGCAGGAGGGTCGGCAGCTTGCTGCTAGTCCAGGCTACATAGTAAGACCCTGTCCATTGTGGTAAAAGGACTGAAGTTAGACAATTCAAAGGGTCAAATATGGAATACCCACTGAGAAGCCAGGAAAGAGGAGGAATGAGAAACTCAGCTTTATCCTTTTACTCCCGAGCTCCCACCAAGACACTCCTTTTTCCATCTTTCTCACTCTCCCCTTCCCCTACTCCCCAGCTCATTGCTCTGGTTCTAGGGCTGAGTCACCAGGGGAGAGGGGGCTGAGTGGGCAGCATGGGGGGGGGAAGGGAGGGTGGCGAGGGCAGCAGCTTCAGCCGCCAAAGGAGAGCCTCTGGGGAGGTGGCTAAATCAGGCAGCCTGGCATAGAGCTGGCGTCCACAAGTGGACTTCCCTCCTACCAGGGCTGGAGCAGCTTTTGCCTCTCCTCCTACTCCCATACCATCAGAGGTGAACAGTAACAAAGACCCCAAAGACCTCCCCAGGGGCTCCCCCAGATCTCCTCATAGGCGCCACCCCACTCCTCCCTGAGAGGAAGTTTAATCGGATAGACTTTCTTTGAGTGCCATCTCACTCCCAGAATCCCGAGGGCCTCTTCCTCTTCGGGGTGAGCCAGCCCGGTGCCCTGAACTCTCTTGGGTCCCATTCTCTGCCATTCTCAGAGAATGGCATTTTCGTGCAGTTATTCTATTAGTTTTGAACTGCTTGGGAAGAAGAGGTATAGAGGGCTGGGCAGCCTGAAGAGCCCTACTTGTGCTTGGAGCTCAGGGGCTCCCCAGAGGCCAGGAAGGGCTTTCTAGTCGGAGCCAAATGAAAGGGCGAGCAGGTGGCTGTTGAGAGCTCTTGGTCTTCCATTTCATCCACCCATTTCTTCCTGGGGTGCTTGCTGCTCCCCACTGCCACGCTTGACTCTAGGAGAGGGAGGTCCTATCTCCTGAGAGCTCTGTCTACTTGTCTTTGACCCCTCTGGCTGTGGCTGGGAGGTGGTGGTCTGGAGGAGATCCGTTTTTTAGATTTTTTTTTTTGATCTACACCCAATAGCATTACTTAATACTTTGCATTTTAATTTACATACCACTAGAGTTTGCTCCAGTCTCGGGATTCCCTAACCCTGACCTTACACATACCTGGCTTTGGCAGGAGGAATATGAACCCTACCCTCTGAACCCCCTTCCTCCATCTGTGTGCAGGCCTCTGGCTGTAGACCACTGCATCCCGGGCTGGGAGCCAGGGGGCCTTAAAGGGCCTCTGAGTGGGCCAAGTAGGAGCTAAAAATATTCCAAAGGGTGTGGGGGAGCTCCCGTTGGAATCTCTCAGGAGGGAGGAGCCTAGAGGTTAGGGAATTGGCTCCTCCCCAGTCCCCACCAGTGGGCACAAGGCTGGCACCGCACAGGAACAGGAATTCGAAGATTGTATGGAGTCTTATTCTAATCCAGCCATGGTTTGGGCTTGGCTCTGCCTGTTCCGTACCTCAGGCAGCTAAGAGGAGGGGGTCACTCAGTTCCCTCCTACAGAGACAGACTTGGGAGGCATGGAGACTCTGCTCCTTAGACACCTCCAGCTAGACAAGTTAGGCAGGACAGTGGCAGCCATGATGGTAGAGCATACATTACATTGTATGCTCCCCAGAGCCCCCTTTTATCCACTGAGCCTACAGGCTAATTGTAGGAGACCCCACCTCCAGCCAACTCTGAGCTTCTTTCAGATACTGGCCTATCTCTCCCCTCCCCCAGTGGCCGCCTGCTCGCTTCAGGATGTGGAAGTTCTACTTCTGTTCAGCCCTCATTCCTTCTAAACAATGAAGTAGTCTGTTCTTTTCTCTGTGTCAGGTTCCCTAACCTGCAGTATTGGAATTCCTGGGTCCCTGGAGAGAGTCTGGAGTAAAGCTCTGATCAGTGCTGGCACCGCAAAAATCCAGAGCAACAGTGTTCATGCGCCCACCGGTGCCTCCTTAGTCAGAGAGTCCTTTTGCAGGGACGCATGTGTTCCCCCCAAATCCTGGAATAGAGAGTTCATCTGGCATTCCCATTTTACAGATAAGACACTCAAGTCTCACAGGGAAAGTAAATCACTTCAGAAGCAGGGCCCTAGCTCCGGTTGAGGTGTTCCTTTCCCACAGGCCCTTTCTTCACTCCTTTGTCAAGCATGCCAGCGGGTGGGTGTGTACCTGTGGTGAGACAGGGTGGCCAGGCAGCTACCCTCCCTAGCCTGAACAGAAGTTGGCTAATAGTCTGGCTGTTATATCTCTTCCCTTACCCCTCCCTAGGGTGCTCAGAACACTACTCTGTTTGGGGAAGCTTTATCCCTGCCCTGAGGAACAGCAGCCTCTGAGGGTGATGTCTGAGCTGCTGTGAGATACAGGTCCACCCACTTCCTAGTACCTCCAGGCAATGCATTCCTGACTCCTCGTAGGTGGAGGCACCCCAAGCCCCAGCATGCCTGGGCCCCACCCTGCCTACTCCCTGCAGCCCTCACTCCCAGGTGCAAAGCAGGGCTGTAGGTACAGCCATTGCTCAGCACTTCCAGACGGGCCAGCGGCCTGGAGCCTGGGAGACTCAGGGCCACAGTGTCGCTGGGCTAAACAGAGAGGCACCTGGGAAGTTCTGCTACCCAGGAAGCTGAGTTGGCAGGAAGGTGCAGAGGGTATGTTATAAGAGGAATATTGGCTGGGCAGTGGTGGCGCATGCCTTTCATCCCAGCACTTAGGAGGCAGGGGCAGGTGGATTTCTGAGTTCGAGGCCAGCCTGGTCTACAAAGTAAGTTCCAGGACAGTCAGGGCTACACAGAGAAACCCTGTCTTGAAAAAAAAAATTAAGAAGAATATTGATAGGGAGAAGATACAAGGAAAAACTTGGTTCTGAAGCTGGACTGCCCCAGATACTATAGCCTGTGGGAGTTGGAGATTTTCTCTTATAAATACCCAGGGATTGTCTGAGATAGGATTTCAGGACTGATCTCTTGTCTGCCTTGCCTAAGTTACCCTTTTGGTGTGGGATGGGGCTCCAGAGTCCTAGCCCCCTTGTGGGAATTTCTTGGTGTCCCTAAAGATGGATTCTGAGGGCAAGGTGACAGAGCTCTTGTCCACTCCCACCATTGGAACTCAGTTCTTGGGTCACGCTGGTATCCAGCCCCACCCCATACCCATGTGCTAGTCTCAAGGTAGGGGTGGGGCCAGTGGAGGCATCACTCACTCACCTGGAAATCTGTGCCTCCCAGAGCTATGTGCTTGATAGTTTCAAGAGGAGAGATTTAGGCTCCTAAAAACACACTCATCCTCACACAGATTCTCTCTTCTGCCCTCTCTGACGCCCCCAGCCCTTGAACCCATAACTGCCATTCCTTCACAACGACCTTTACTTCTGAGGCCAAAAGATTCCTTCAAAAACCCAGATCTGGGGCTGAGAAGGTACCTCAGCTGGCAGAATGTTTATCTAGTGCTTATTCTGGAAGCTCCGGATTAATTCCTAACACTACATAAATCTGGGCACGGCGGTACATACCTGAAAATCCAGCACGTGAGAGGTGGAAACGGGAGGATCAGGAGTCCAAGATCATCTTTGGTTGAATAGGGAGTATCCCAGCCTGGGCTACATGAGACCCTATCTTGAAAAGAGAATGAACTAAAGGAAAACAAACAAACAAGGGACCTGATCTTGTTGCTGCCTTGCCTGGGGTCCCTCTGTGGTTCCTCTAAGGCCTTTGTCCTGGCTTGTGTGCCTCCACCAATGTTCTTCCTGAGTTCTGGTTGTCCAGAGGGCTGGTGCCTGCATCACTCACTGGCTTGCTCATGCTTCCTGGTCCTTGTACATATTGTACCCTTGTCTCTGGTGTCCTTCCTCCCCTTTTTCATTGGGTGACCCTGGCCATTGTCCTTACACTGAGGCCAGGGCACCTTGTGTACTGACTTCCATGCTTTCCACATGAGATCCTTACTGAGTGTTTCCTGGCCCGCCTTCCTCTGTGGTAGGCTCTTCTGGAAGACAGAGCCAAGGTTTATTGATGTCCTATCTTCAGAACATGGATATGGAGTTCCTGCCTAGAGATTGTTGATTTGCAAGCTGGTTAGAGGGAGGCTTGTAAAATCAGGCTGACCCACCTGCCTTCCTTTCCCAGCCTTCTGGCCGGTGCTCCCCGGGACCTCGCTGTGGATGACAGCTACACCAACCGGACTGGTGCTGTGTACCTGTGTCCCCTCACTGCCCTCAAGAACGATTGTGAACGGATGGAGATTTCAGAGAGAAGTAAGAAGATCCTGGGGGCAGAGCTAAGTCAAGAACCTGGCAGAGAGAGCCCAAAGAGGAGATACAAGGCTAGCCTGTCAGCGAGGCATGGTGGCTCATCCCTGTTTTTCTAACACTTGAAGCTAAGGCAAAAAGACAGCGAGATCAGGCTAGCCTGGGCTACATAGTGAGTTCTAGAATAGCTTGAGATGTGCAGTGGAGATCCTAGCTCAAAAACAAAACAAAAAGCAAAGCTGATTTGTTTCTTTTCCACCTGTTTCTTGTCACACTGTCATACAGTGTGAGCTCAGAGAAACGACAGACAGGAGGTAGAGAAGAGACAGCAGCTGCTGCCCTCAGGATGCTTTGGATGCTGGAATATGAGGTGAGGGGCCCGAGTTCACGATCCCTCCCATTCTTGCAGGTGACCCTGACCATCACATTATTGAGGACATGTGGCTTGGAGTGACGGTGGCCAGCCAGGGCCCTGCGGGCAGAGTCCTGGTAAGTGAACACTTAGCATCATCTTCCCTGAGCCAGGGAGGACTGCAGAAGGTGGGAGGGGATCCTCTGTGATGGCTGGGGCCTTTGCAAATGTCCGCTTCTGTGGCCTCCTGTCTTTACTGGCTTGTGTGTTCCCTGATCCCCGCTCTCTGGGGAGAGGATTGTCTGACACTCCTCCAAGGCTGGACATGGCGTGGATCCTGTGCAACCTGCATGGATGCTCACCATCCGAGGGAAAGAGCAGAGAGAACTCGAAGCGGGAAAGGGCAGAGAGTGCCCCAGGCAGTTGGGCACTGGCAGGCGTTCCTTCCTGGGAGGCTGGCTGCCAGAAGAGGCACAGCCCTGATGGCCCTGGCTCACCCTGGCACTGATTTGAGTGCCACTCCCTGCTGTCAATTGTCACCTTTTGGTGCTGACAGTTCTTCAATCTCTGCCCTTTTGGGATCGTGATTTCTGTGTCCCGGACAGACATTATTTAGGTTTATATGAAATCTATATATAGCGAAAAGGGCAGATCTTAACTTTCTATGACCAATGATAAGCCTATGTCAGCAGTGACACACATGAAACAGAACATACTTACATCACTCCAGAAAGTTCTCTGTGCCGCCTCCGAGTAGTCGCCACTCCTATAATCATCACAGCTGTGACTTCTGTCCCAAGACCGCTATTGTAAGCTTTAGGCTGTCAATCGGTTCATTAGACGACTCTTTTGTACCCTCTGTTGTTTGTGGGTGTGTCTAGACGTTTGTTTAAGTGATTGTAGACTCTAGGATTAGCTCCTTACCCTTACTCAGTCAAAAGATATTTAGCTAGCACTTACTGTGTTCCCAGCACAAGAAGTTTAGCAGTGCCTAAGGATAAGCTCATGTGAAGTGCTGGTGGTGCTTACAGCTGGGATGTGACAGAAGAAGTGAATAAACAAGAACACCTCCTGTTTCTAGACACTGTAGAGACCAGAGGCTAATTTAGAGCACTTTTTGTGTAGCCATGGTTGCCTGGAACTCAACTCTGTAGATCAGATTAGCTTCAAATCCAGAGATCTACCTGCCTTTGCCTCCCAATGCTGGATTTGACTCCAGTTTCTGGGAATCTGATGCCCTCTTCTGCCCTCTGCAGGTACCAGGCATGTACATGGCACACAGACATACATTCAGGCAAAATACCTATACACAAAAAATAAAATAAAAAACCCAGACAAACTGAAAGCTGCTATACAAGAAGAATTTGTGCTTATGTGTATGGTAAGTGCTCAGTAAGTGTTTGCTGAGCTGGGTAGTGGTAGCACAGAGGCAAGTGGATCTCTGAGATCAAGACCAGCCTGGTCTATATAGTGAGTTCCAGGTCAGCCAGGGCTACACAGAGAAACCCTGTCTCAAAACAAACAAACAAACAAACAAACAGACAAACAAACAAACAAACAGTGTTCAGTGCACTTATTAATGTTATTATTATTACTACTAATTTTAAATGACCCTTTCATTAAACAACAGGGTTATCTAGGGACAAGGGAAATGAGTTCCCTAATCTCTCTGTAAATAGCTCCTTTTAGACCCAGGAGCCTAAGTGTCCCACATTCCCTCATCTCCCAACTCCTTTCACCAAGATCTCTAAGCTGCTCTCAAATTCATGCCTTCTGGCTTCCCCAGACCTGCTCCCGACCCTTGATTCCAGTATAATGGATAGGGAGGTACAGGTCTCAGCGTACCCACAGGAAGAAATGGAAGCCAGACTTCCACTTGGGCCTTGACTCATAAAGCCGGGAATGTGCAGGGTGAGAGGTATAGATTGCCATGGTTCCCTGATCTTGGCTAACCCCATGTGTGTGTGTGTTTGTGGGTCTCTAGGTCTGTGCCCATCGATACACCAAGGTGCTGTGGTCTGGGCTAGAAGACCAGCGGCGCATGGTGGGCAAGTGCTATGTGCGTGGCAACGACCTACAGCTCGACCCTGGCGATGACTGGCAGACATACCACAACGAGATGTGTAACAGCAACACTGACTACTTGCAGACTGGCATGTGCCAGCTGGGCACCAGCGGTGGCTTCACCCAGAACACTGTATACTTCGGTGCCCCTGGTGCCTACAACTGGAAAGGTAGGGGACCTGGGAGAAGGAGGTGCAACAGAGACCACACAGCCAGTCGAAACCATCTAGGGTCAGGGTCACAAGAGACAGGATCACAGGTCAACAGCAGTATTAAAACACTCACTGTGGGCTGGCAGTTTTACATGTGCCATCTTTAACTCTTCTGTGTATGTACACATGTGCACATATGGCTGTAGAGGTCAGAGGTTGACATCAGTCCCTCGGTTGCTCCCATGGTCTCTCGGTACACCTGGAGTTCACTGATACAGTGGAAGGGGAGTGGCTGGCCAGTGAGCTCCATGGATTCACCTGTTTTTACCCTGGCAGAGCTGGGGTCATAGACACATGATGCTGTGCCTGTCCTTTTGTATGGATGCTGGGAATCTGAATCCAGGTTCTCATGCTTCCATGGCAAAGACTTCACCAAATCCCCAGCTCCCTGCACATATTGTCTTAAACAATCTGAAAAACACTCAGGAAATAGAGACAGGAGAATTGCCATGAATTTGAAAATAGCCTAGGCTACGTAGAAAGTTCATAGAGTGATCTACTACCCCCCCTCATATATATACACACATACATATATATGTATGTATATATGTGTATATATATGTATACACACACACACACACACACACATATTGAGTATTTCTAAAGTCCTCGGGTGACACAAGCATTTTATACCCATTTACTTAATTAAAAACTTTGTCTTAGAGAAAGCCTAAATTAAGAAACTAGATTGGATTGCAACCTGTCTGATGTCAGCTCAACCTCTGGGAACTTTCACAAACATGCTTCTGGAGCAGCACTAAAATCTTAGCTAAGGATTTGTTAGAAGCAAGAGCAAAAATGGGCAATCCCAGTGCCACTGTCCTGTGATCCCAGCTATTCAGAGCCTGAGACAGGAGGATTCCATAATTCTGCATGGGATATACAGTGAGTTCAGGTCCAACATGAATAACTTAGCAAGGTCTGTTTTAAGATTAAAAAAAAAAAATTCAATCTTCAGTACCTCAAAGTAAGGAGAGAGAGAAAAAAGTCCCTCCTGTGCCTCCACCTCCCTCATCCCTTTTCCAGCATTCAGTGTCTCAGGACTCCTTCCACACTTACTTGTGCATTGGTGTTTTGCTGGGATGTGTGTCTGTGTGAAGGTGTCAGATCCCCTGGAACTGGAATTACAGACAGTAGTGAGCTGCCTTTGAGAACAGAACCCAGGTCCTCTGGAAGAGCAGTCAGTGCTCTTAACTACTGAGCCATCTCTCCAGCCCCTTGTTTTGGTATTTATGGGTATCTTCTTAAAAGAAAACAGGATCAGTTTGGCCTTCCACATTCTCCTTACATGCATCATAAGCTAAAAGCAGTGTCTTGGTCAATACTTACAGGACTGTCCTTTTGAGGTTACAGAATGTTTCATTTTCTCAAGATCCTCCCCCTTAAAGAGCTGGAGAGATAGCTCAGCACCCACAGCTCACAGCTGTCTGTAACTCTAACTCCAGGAACCCAACGCCCTCTTCTGGCCTCTACAGGCACTGCAGGTGGTGCACAGACATACATGTAGCAAAACACCCATACCTATAATCACATAAACCACATGTAGTGCTACATGCCAGCAGCTGGGAGGCTGAGGCCTGAGGATCATGAGCTCCCGGCCTGTCTGATCCCCTGGCACTGGAGTTACAGACCACTGTGTGCTACTGCTGGTGTTGGGAATCAAACCTGGATCTCCTAGAAGAGCAGCGGCCAGTGTTCTTGTCCACTGAGCCATCTCCCAGCCCTATCCCACCCACCCAGCCTTCTACCTCAAAAACATTCTTAAAGAGGAAGTGATTTATCAGCCAGGCAATGTTGGTACACACTTTTAGTCCCAGCGTTCAGGAGGCAGAGGTAAGCAGATCTCTGAGAATTCAAAGCTAGCCCAGTCTAGAGATCGAGTTCCAAGACAGCCAGGGCTACTAAAAGAAACCTTGTCTTGGAGAACAAGACAAGACAAAACAAAACAAAATAAAGAACAAAAAACCAGGAAGCGATTTATCAGCGCAGTGCTCACCCACAGTGTTATTGTTGTTGTGGGGAGGTGGGCTTGGTAGAAGAAAAGGCTGTGGCTAATTCGTCCTGCTCCCCTTCCCCAATTTTTCTGCAGGAAACAGCTACATGATTCAGCGGAAGGACTGGGATTTATCTGAATATAGCTACAGGGGCTCAGAGGACCAGGGAAACCTCTATATTGGTAAGCCCCGTGCTGGTGGCCCATTGTAGGATGGGAGGAGCTATCTTGATTCCTAACACACTGGCCCTCTTACTCCTGGTGTGCTGTGGGGTGACACTACCATGCAGATGTGACTGGAGGCACGTAGTTCAATTAGCACACGCTCATTGAGCACTGTCTGCATGTGTGACCCTGCACATGGTTTAAGCTTTCAGATGCAAAGTCGGGTCTGTCATGAAACTCAAAACCCAGTGCGCAAGGAAGGCTCCGACTGGCTCTGTGGCCCACTGAATTACTCAGCTTGGCCTAGTGGAATAGAGGGTGGGCAACGAGGATAGGCTCAGGGGGCAAATTCCCTGGGGCTTTGATTGAACGCTTTCCCCCTCATCCCAGGGTACACGGTGCAGGTAGGCAGTGCCGTCCTACATCCCACGGAAATCACTGTTGTGACGGGCGCTCCACGGCACCGGCATATGGGTGCCGTCTTCTTGCTGAAACAAGAGTTAGGTGGAGACCTGCAGAGGAAGCAGGTGCTGAAGGGCACGCAGGTGGGCGCTTATTTTGGCAGTGCCATTGCCCTGGCAGACCTGAACAATGATGGGTGAGAATCCAGGGACACGGGGCACCCTCTGGGGCTAGGGGGAAAAGAGGGCGGTGGTGGCAGGCTTGCTCAAGCTAGATCAGGGAAGTAGAAGCTTTATGTTCTCACGTTTGCATTCACTGTTTTCAAGGTCTCAATCACACCTTATGGGAGTCTGGACATTTGCATGTCATTTGCATGACACCTGTGCTTGCTTGTCTGTACCTGTCATTCATAAGGTGCCAATGGGGTAGGGGTGTTTTTTGGGGGTTTGATCTTTGCCTGCACGATTTCTCTGTACATGTTTGGTGGGTCTTGCTGGCTTTCTCATGGATCGTAGTCAGACCTGGTGTCATTCGCTCTGTTGCATGGCCCTTGGCAACATCATGCTCATCAGATGGCGTTTGCAATGTCTATCGGGCCAACTTCACACCTCCATTCCCACTCTTCCCCTGTGCAGGTGGCAGGACCTCCTGGTGGGTGCTCCCTACTACTTTGAACGGAAAGAGGAGGTAGGGGGTGCCGTCTATGTCTTCATGAACCAGGCGGGCACGTCCTTCCCTGACCAACCTTCCCTCCTGCTTCATGGCCCCAGTCGCTCTGCCTTTGGCATCTCTGTAGCCAGCATTGGTGACATCAACCAGGACGGATTCCAGGGTAGGAGCCAGTATCTCTCCTTCAGAACCCACACTGACTGAGCACCAGCTGCATAGCTTGACAGGACTCACAGCTCAAGGATGTAAAAGAGAGGATGCGCAGAGGGTGATAAGTGGGTTGGGTTGAGAGTGCACAAGAGAGAGATCCAGATAGCATACAGCGGGAGCTCAGGAGCAATGTCATGTATACTACCGAAATAGCTTACACGACAAGCTGGAGAATGCTCTGGAAGCCAGGCAGAGGAAATGGCGCTTTCTGTTTGGGTCATAGTGAGAGTAAGGTGGGAAGTATAGCTTGGTACTTTGGAGGGTGATTCTTGGTGGCGGTGGTAGGGGCTATGGTGTGGAAGCAGGTGGGAAACCTGGGGAGGTAGGGTTAAAAATGTACCATATCAGGTGATAAGAAAGGGCTGGCAGAACGAGGGAGCCCTAGGTATAGTGCCATTCCCTTGCTAGTGTTCTGTGGGACCCGGGGGACAATACAATCAGACCCAGGGAGAAGTCACAGGGAGGACACGGTACGCTATGAGTCCAATTACTGTGGAAACACTTAGCTTACCAAAAGTGAGTTTTCTGACAATCTTAGTTTCCCACAACACAGCAGAGAGCCAAAGGAGGGAAGGCAAAGCTTCTCAGGAGGCAGACATGTATGCCGGAGAGGTCAGCCCACAGGCCTAGATGCGTCCCACAGAGGGCTCAGTTGTTTTCAGCCTAGGGTCTGATCACTGTCCTTGTCATCCTTTCCAGTCACCCTGGCCTCAGATCAAATGTAGCCGATGAGTCCAGCAAAGACTGAGATCATCAAACGTGTTGAGTTTACTTGACGAGGCCTAGCTTAGCATTTTAAAAGTCTTGACACGTGAAGTTCCGTTATACTATAGCAAAATCCACTGCAGTGTTGTACGTATAATCCAGTTTCCTGGCTGTGTGACCTTGTGACCTTGGGATTTGAGCCTGCTCATCTATAAAGGGAGTAAATAATAGTACATGATAGCACCCCATCCCCAACACACACACACACACACACACACACACACACACACACACACACACACGGCATTCTTGTAAGGGTTAAATGAAACGGATGCTGTGAGCACTGTGCTGGTGGTTATCCATGGAGAATGGCTTCTTTTCTGGTCCTGATAGTAGATAGTATAAGAGCCAAGGTATCCAGAGAGGTGGTTGTTGGGGTTGGGGATATGGAAAGTGGGAAACACTGGGTTCTGCTGGGGAATGTGATGCATGGCTCTGTGGCGCTCACTTGCTGTGTGACTTTGAGGAAGTTTCTTCCCCTTTCCTGAGCTTCCATTGCCACCAGAGCTCTGGAGCTTGGAGGTTCCTCCTCTGCTGCTCTGAACACATCTGCCAGGTGAAGTCACCACCACAGTGAGGTCACCACCACACTGGGCTCAGTGGCCTGGAGCAGAGAGTGAAAGGGATATGGGGACCGGTATGCCTAGTGACTCTTCCCCATCTCTCCTCAGACATTGCTGTAGGAGCTCCATTTGAAGGCTTGGGCAAAGTATACATCTACCACAGCAGCTCCGGGGGGCTCCTCAGGCAGCCCCAGCAGGTACGAATGGGTGGAGACAAGTCAGAGACCCTCATTCCCCTGGGCCCCCTCCTCCGGGCACGTCTCCGAGCCCGTCCCTACCACTTCCTCTTGGCTTCAGATAATCCATGGAGAGAAACTAGGACTGCCTGGCTTGGCCACCTTCGGCTACTCTCTGAGTGGGAAGATGGATGTGGATGAAAACTCATACCCAGACCTGCTAGTAGGAAGCCTGTCAGACCACATTGTGCTGCTGCGGTGAGCTAGGAGACTGGCCAGGGTCATGTCCCTCCTCCGCTCTGTCCACCTTCGTCAGTGATCCACACAAACCTGAACCCCAGCCCTGGCTTGGGATAGGCAGGAAATACTGATTCTGCGTGGTTTCTTGTTACTATAGGGCCCGACCTGTCATCAATATCCTCCATAGGACCTTGGTGGCCAGGCCAGCTGTGTTGGACCCCTCGCTTTGTACAGCTACTTCCTGGTGAGACTGTCAGCCCAGTTCTTCCTACCTACTCCTTAGACCTCAGGCCCTAAGCCCTTCCCCTAGACACTCGGGATGTCCCACCATCAGCAGCTGGGTTCTAGGGTCAGCAGTATCTTTTCAATCTCTTAAAGTCAAAGTTCCTTGCAGGAGCTAATGTGTGAGCACAAGCTTAGGAACAGCTCTGGACCATTGGGCTCAAAGCCCAACCACTCACTGTCAGGAGAGAGCAAGGGGAACTCTGAAGAGTGAGGGATGGAAGAAGAGGGAAAAGGAATGTTCTTAGGTGGCTGGGCGTGGGGAGGGAGATTCACTCTGGGCAAATTATTAGTCTGAGTCTCAAGCAATGTATAAAAGGTAATAACCAAATAACAGGGTTCTTGAGATGATTAAATGAGATGCTATATAAAAAAGTCCTAAGCACAGTAGTCTATACCTTAGGTGAAAAACAAAACAAAAACAAAAAAAAAGAAAAACAAACAAAACATCACTATCACCCAAAAACCCAGTTGCTGATAGAGTGTACATCAGTAGTCACCCTGAAGGCTTTTTTGTGGATATCAGTCTGGTAGCAAAAGGTTCGGGGGCAGGCAGAGCTGAAAATCAAGGGATCGGAGACAAAAGTAGGATCTGTAGATCCCAAGACCTGGACTGGGCCATCAGTCACCTGATAACATCAGACAAACCCTGCTGCTCCCTGGACCTCGGTTTCCCCGCTGGTGACCTCTAGAAGCTGTGAGAAGTTACCTCAGCTTTGTGGACTTCCCACTTTCCCCCACAAGGGTCCTGAGTTCTTTGCTTAGCACAGGAGTGAAAGGCAGGATGTGACTGTCCTTCCCACGGTGACCAGGCCCTGCTCTGCATCCCCCCACCCCCAACAGTGTTCAGGTGGAGCTGTGCTTTGCCTACAACCAGAGCGCTGGGAACCCCAACTACAGGCGGAACATCAGTGAGTGCTGGCCACAGGGTGCTCAGGCGGGAGAGAGGGGTGTGCTCACCTGGCCACCTGCTGACTGCCCTGTCTGTCCACAGCCCTGGCCTACACACTGGAGGCTGACAGGGACCGACGCCCTCCCAGGCTCCGATTTGCCCGCAGCCAGTCGTCTGTCTTCCATGGCTTCTTCTCCATGCCAGAGACACATTGCCAGACACTGGAGTTACTGCTGATGGTGAGAGAGGGGCTGTAGGGGAGGATGGGGGCCCTGAGATCTCCGAGAGAGGTGGCCAGTGTCCCTTTAAGTCAACGCTCACAGACGGGGTATCCCCAAAAACCAGAGTTTGGGGAAGTCAGTCTGGTAAATATGGATTGGGTGGATGGTGGCTACACAGCAGGTCGTCCATGTTAGGAGGAAGATAAGCCCCATGATGGGGCCAAGGGGCTTATCACCTTAGAAAAGAGGTGTTGCCTCTGGCTCAGTCTGGAAAGAATGGGTCCCCGATTCAGGACAAGCTCAGTTCCTCTTTGAGGCATCATGGCGTTATGGGAAGTAGACCTGGAGGTCCATAAAGTAAAGAGGAGTCCCCGTCTCAGGCAAGATAGTAGGACTCGATTTGGTGAGTGGATTAGTGGGGGTTCAGCTTAACTAGGGGGTTAGTGTAGAGAGAAGCCCAGCCCCTTCCTGGGTCTTAGTCTGGCTAGGGTTTAACGAGATGGGAGGATTCAGCTTGGGGACTGTGTTCACGGCACCCTCTTCCCCAGGACAATGTTCGTGATAAACTCCGTCCTATCGTCATTGCCATGAACTACTCCTTACCTTTGCGCATGCCCGATCGCCTCAAGCTGGGCTTGCGGTCTCTGGATGCCTACCCAGTCCTCAACCAGGCACAGGCTATGGAGAATCACACTGAGGTGAGCAGGCCCTCTCTGGGCCAGGAGGGCTGCAGGGTCAGAAGGTGGTGTGTGGGTTGCAGTCCCTCAAGCCTTCCGCTGCCCCCTAGGTCCACTTTCAGAAAGAGTGCGGGCCAGACAACAAGTGCGACAGCAACCTGCAGATGCGAGCAGCCTTCGTGTCTGAGCAGCTGCAGCCTCTAAGCAGGTGGTATTTGGGTGACCCTGATTGGTCAAGGGCTAGGCGGGGGAGGCGGGAGCTCGCTGGCTGACAGAACTGGGGCAAGGCCTCACTGGGCAGGGGTAGGGTGGATGTGAGCAGAGGTGCTTTAATTAGCCTAGTATGACTTGGTTGCCCACCCCCACCCCATGGCTTTCCTAGCCCTGAAGGCCTGAGGGGCGGAGCCTGGAGGCCCAAGGGGTGGAGCCAAGTGGAGCTGAGGCTTTTGGCTGAGTCCCAGACTCCTCTCTTCAGGCTCCAGTACAGCAGAGACACTAAGAAACTCTTCTTGAGCATCAATGTGACCAATTCGCCGAGCCGCCAACGGGCTGGGGAAGACGCTCATGAGGCGCTACTCACCCTAGAGGTGCCATCCTCTCTGCTACTGTCCTCAGTGCGCCCGGTGAGTGCCCGCTGTCTAAGCTATTTGCACCCACTGTATATGACATTTATTTGAATTATTGTTTGCTGTGCTGTGTTGATCTTTTTCGGAACTGGGGTACCTCTGCTACTCGGTTGACAAGCCTTCAGGGCTTCTAATTGTGCTCCCTCGTAGACGGAAGACAAGTATAACCCTGAGCTTATTTGCTTTCTTTCCTCAGTCTGGGACCTGCCAAGCTAATAATGAGACCATCTTGTGTGAGCTAGGAAACCCCTTCAAACGGAACCAGAGGGTGAGACCTGGCCACATCCTCCTCTCCTGGAGAGCTTCTAGCCATCTTACCTGCCCAATTCATGGGATTTCTTGAAGCAAAGAACCAGAATGGAGGAGGGGAAGGCACAACAAGGGGTGAAAAGAAGCCCAGAGACTAAAATATGGAGCCACTAGGTATCTATGGATGATTCTAGGGGAGGCGCAAACAAGGAGACCACTTGGGCTGAGCCCTGATACTGTGCTCACCCTACAGCTAACGCTACGTCTTTTATCTGTTGTACTATCTCAACTTACCCTAATATAAAAGCTATTTCACAGACTAGGAAATGCAGGCTTAGAGAGTCTCAGTAACTTGCTTAAGGTTTCCCAAAGGTGGCAGAGATCCCCAAGGCAGCAGTGATGTCCAACGATCTTATCACTGAGACAGGAAGCAGAGATGGACAAGGGGGAGGGGTGGAGATCCCCTCGCCTGGATCTTCCCGATGCCACAGCCCCCTGCTCTGTTTCAATGCTCCTTTCTGTTTCCCTGACCGTTGTGCTAGATGGAGCTGCTCATTGCCTTTGAGGTCAGCGGGGTAACCTTGCACACGAGGGACCTTCAGGCACGTCTACAACTATCCACGTGAGTGACCCAGTGGAGGTAGTCTGGTTAGGGCTGAGCTCCTATCCAGAGTCTCCTTCTTACCACCTGCATTTTCTCCTCAGGTCAAGTCACCAGGACAACTTGGAGCCCGTGCTCCTGACTCTGCAGGTGGACTACACCCTCCAGGCCTCCCTCAGCTTGTGGGTATTGCTCTGTTCCCGGTCGTTTGTGCCTGAGCCAGGGCTTCCCTACCCTCAAGGAGCCTCCTAAGCTCCCCTGACACCTCTCTTGATTCTGGGGTCTTCCTGGGTCATCTTTTCCTGATAGCCATGGTCGCTATGATGGTTGCATTATTATTCCCTGTGTGTAACACAGGTAGGAGGGGCAGCATTAGCTCTTGAGGCTAAGGTGGTGGTCTGTCTCTTCCCTATCTTTCATTTTTTCCACTTTGTTTTCTTGATATTTACCTTTGTGTATGCGTGTGTGATGTGTGTTAGCACGTGCATGTGTGAGAGTGCAGGCGTGTGCATGATATGGTCCACATGTAGAGGTCAGAGGGCAATATGAGGTGTTGCGTCTCTCCTACACCTTGTGTCGGGCAGGGGTTTCTCTGCTGTTGGCCACCGCATTCACGAGAATGCATATGCAGGCTAGCGGGCCCATGGGCTTCCTCAGGGATCCCCCTGTCTTAGGGATCCCACGCCCACCTCACATTAGGAGAACTTGGATTACAGATGTGTGGTACCGCACTCAGCTTTTAAGTGGGTTCTGGGGGGATGTAAACTCAGAACCTCACTCTTTCCTAACGAGTGCTTTACCCACTGAGCCACCTCCCCAGTCACCCCCAATTTGAATTTTTTTTTCTTAGATTTATTTTATTTCATGTATACAGAGTGTTTTGACTGCATGTATGTCTATGCACCATGTGCGTGCCTGGTGCCCGTGAAGGTTTGGAGAGGGTGTCAGGTCCCCTGAAACTGGAATTACAGATGGTGCTGAAAACTGAACCCCAGTTCTCTGGTAGAGCAACAAGTGCTCTTAACCCCTGGGCCATCTCTTCGGCCCCTCCTCCACCTTCTTGGAAAACCTACTGTGCAAGGATGTCAAAGACATCTTAGTGATTTTTGCATCGCTGCCCCGCACTGCACCAACTCTCACTAACCCCACCTTGAAGGCGAGGAACCTGAGGCTCAGGAAGGATCTGTAGTCTGTGTGAGGCTGCACAGCTGGGGCAGGGTAGAACTGGGGTTTGTGTGCCAGGGGCACTGTAGGCGACCCACCTCAGCACTACAGTCCCCTCTTGCAGGGCTCTGGCCTCCTGTCCGCTTTGACTCAGGTGTCTTCTTACCCAGGATGAACCATCGGCTGCAGAGCTTCTTTGGTGGGACAGTGATGGGTGAGGCTGCCATGAAAACTGTGAAGGATGTGGGAAGCCCCCTGAAATATGAATTCCAGGTGAGGGCACCTCTAGGGTCCTGGCTGGCAGCTCTTCCTAAAGAGAGCAGGGAGACTGTTCTGAGTCTGGGGTTCAAAAGTGGAAGGATTTAGGGTTGTTGAGTTGTGGATGGTTTTCCAAAGGATGGTAACCATGACACATGGCTCATGTGTGCCCACAGGTGAGCCCAGTGGGAGATGGGCTGGCAGCCTTGGGCACACTGGTTCTAGGTCTGGAGTGGCCCTATGAAGTTACCAATGGCAAGTGGCTGCTGTACCCCACAGAGATCACCATCCATAGCAATGGGTCCTGGCCCTGCCGGCCATCTGGAAACCTTGTCAACCCTCTCAACCTTACTCTCTCTGTAAGTCCATCAGCAGGAATGGTTCATGTGCATCTTGTTTGCGTCCTGGAGGGCAGAAAGGCCAGAGTCTTCCCTTGCCGCCTCAGTGGTCTTTGGGAGCCTGACTACACCCTGTCCCTTTCCTGTTTCCCATCAGCTATTCTATCTCTCTCTGCCTTCCCAACATATCTCTGCCCTCTTCAGGACGCTGGAGTCAAGCCACTGTCCCCACAGCGCCGGCGGAGGCAACTGGACCCAGGGGGAGACCAGGGTTCCGCGCCTGTCACGTTAGCTGCTGCCAAAAAAGCCAAGTCTGAGACTGTGTTGGTGAGTGGCCAGGGCAGAGGCAGGGAGGACTGCACAGCCTGTCGCAAGGTGCATCGGCATCAGGGGCCCACAAGCAAGGGTGATAGATAGAGACCACCCACACAGAGACACCAGTCCAGAGAGGTGCTGTAGACCTGGGCCTCAAGAACCTTCTGACAGAAAAACAGCTTCTATCCTAGAGCGCATCCAACACAGTGGTCTCAAAGAGGAAATGCTGGCAGATTCCAAGGCTTCACACCCTGTTGGGTGTAGCTTGGGCATTTGTTGTGGGGAGGATGTGTAGAGCAGAGTGGTCTATGCAGGAAGAGGTTGAGAAGGGGGAGCCTAACTGGCTAGAGAGGTTGCAGGGGTATCCTAAGCCAACAGACAACACTCACCGTGCTTGGCCTGGGAGAGGTTTCTGAGGCTGCACCTTGCCAGCCTAAGAAGGGACTATGCTTCATGCTTGCGTTCCCTGAGTCAGATGGGCTTGGCCCAAGAGTGCATCTTGAATGTTCCTGAAGTAGAAGAATGTGAACGAGCAAAACAGTGAACCCTTGTCACTCCAGGGTGGGACGAAGTCTAGGAGGGTAGAATGTAAGGAGCCAGCATCAGGTCTAGAGACTCAGGCTATCTCCCATCTGTCCTCCTGCTCACCTCAGACTTGTTCCAATGGCCGCGCCCGCTGCGTGTGGCTGGAGTGTCCCCTTCCCGATTCCTCCAACGTTACCAATGTGACCGTGAAGGCACGGGTGTGGAATAGCACCTTCATTGAGGTTAGTGCTGAATGTGGAGGCCTTCATTGTTATCCACTTGAGTGAAGAGGGTTATAGGGAGGGATGGAAGCCAGTGTGTGTGTGTGTGTGTGTGTGTGTGTGTGTGTGTGTGTGAAACAGTATCAAGTTCTGCACAGTTGTATGTCTGTTATTGTGGTCATATCGGTGTTATGGTTGCTTGTATGTGAATGTGTGATACTTCCAAAATGACCTTTTATGTGTCCTTTACATTCTATCTCTGTGCCTTTGCCCCTGTTGCCCCCTGCCCACTGGAATGCCAGCTTTTTGTTTTTCCCTGTCTCTGTGTGAATTCCCTATTCAGCCATCGAAGTCTCCAGCAACCTTTGCTTGTCATCATTGAGATTCTAGCTAACTTCTCAGCTGGAGTCTTCTCCTGAATAACATGTCTTCCCTGGAAGTTACCTGGGTTACCGTCCTGCTTGGATAGGTTATGGTTACCCTTATGCCAGCCTTCTCTTGCTACCTAGTCTAAACCTTTTCTTAAGACTAGACTATCACCGGGCAGTGGTGGCGCACGCCTTTAATCCCAGCACTTGGGAGGCAGAGGCAGGCGGATTTCTGAGTTCGAGGCCAGCCTGGTCTACAGAGTGAGTTCCAGGACAGCCAGGGCTACACAGAGAAACCCTGTCTCGAAAAACAAAAACAAACAAACAAGACAACACAAAACAGACTAGACTATCAATCTTTCTGGCTTATGTGATTGGTTTCTATCATATCTACTAAGTTTCCAACACTGGGCCACCACAAAAGTTACCTTAGGTAAATGAAGGGGTGTGGCTGTGTACCTGAACCGGTGCTGTGTGGGGCGGAGGACCGTGAAAGGATAGCATGGTTTGTAAAGCTGGGGTGGTAATGAGGGATGCACAAGAGGAGCTTGTTTTTATTATCCTTCGGAGCTGAGCATGCGGGATGTGAGGGAAGCGAGCATGAAGCCCCTTTAGATTTGTGTGTGTGAGTGAACGAAATTGGTCTGCTTGCTCAGTGGAGGCTATGAATGTCAGGCAGTTTGGTCAGTGAGTGCATTTCCCTCAGATATAGGACCCGGCAGGGGACTGTGGGGTCGGATGTGCTGGATATGGATGAGGGAGGCTCTCTCCTGTAGGAGGGCAGAGAGACCTGTGTGAGTAGAGGGGAGAGCGGGTTGTCATCTAGTTTGACAAATGATCTCGACAACCAGGGAAGCAAGTTGACAGCGTATACACTGTCTGAAAAGAGGATAAGGGGGCCCTTGACTTCTTTTAGAGCTAGGTAAATGGCATATAGTTCTTTGTATTGGGGGGAGTGGTGGGGGAGCTCTTTGAATCGGAGGATAGGGGGGTTCATCCTCAGGGAAGTAGTATATTACTGCTGCAGCTCCCCTCTTCCCCCATCGGTAAATATTAAGGGGGCTCCTGCTATGGGCTCTCTTGAGAATAGTTTGGGGGGGTAGCCATCGCAACAGAGGGAGGGCAGAGGCTCATTTTTTGTCAGGATAATGGTTGTCAATTTGTCCTGGGAACCCTATTAAGCTGATAGCGAAGTGGGAATGATTTTTAATTAGCCACTGAACATCAGAGAGGGAGAAGGGGGTGACAAGAACGTCAGGTTCTTTTCCTAGGGTTTGTAAGGCTCTATCCCTGCCATTTTAAATCATTCTAGCGAGTGCATCCACTTCATTTAAAACTTGGGGTGCAACACCCATCGGGGTATGGAGCCATTCTAGCACCCCCTGAGGTTGGTAAAGGCCTCCTACAAGTGTAGGGGAGGAGTTAAAGATAAGGAGATGTACAGGTATTGTTAGGTCATACCTAGCAAGAGCCATATCTTTTTTTTTTTTTTTTTTTTTTTTTTTTTTTTTTTTTTTTTGGTTTTTCGAGACAGGGTTTCTCTGTATAGCCCTGGCTGTCCTGGAACTCACTCTGTAGACCAGGCTGGCCTCGTACTCAGAAATCCGCCTGCCTCTGCCTCCCAAGTGCTGGGATTAAAGGCGTGCGCCACCACTGCCCGGCCTTTACTTTTTTTTTTTTTTATGGTTTTTTTTTTTTGGAGCCATATCTTTTAGGGCTGAATTGACAGAATTTAGGGCTTGGACTGCTTCTGGGGACAGTGTTCTTGGGGAGGAGGCAATCTGTCCCCACTGCAGAAAAGGTTTCCACTGGAGGAGGCACTGTACTGCTCTATATGACAAGAATGGCCACTAGAGCCTTTATACTTTAAATGGGGAAACCCTCAGCCCTTACAATAAGAGGGACAACTACTCTCCCATAGAAGTCTTATGGGTGTCCAGGATCTCAGAAGGTTCCCACCCAAAGTTAACCATTAAAATAGATAATAAACCATTCACATGTCTTATTGATACTGGAGCAGATAGGACAATTTTAAGACAGCAAGAGGTCCCACAAGACGGGCAACTGATCCCTGGGCCCCAGGTCCTAAGCACAGGGGGTACCTCTCACGCATTCATCACCAAACAGATCTACAGGTGGGAGGACCCAGATGGAGCTACCGGCCATACGCCCCCCTGGTGGCTCAAGTAGCCACCAAGCTTTTAGGGAGAGCTATCTTCCAATCCTTAGATGTGATTCTTACCACCCAACCAGAAAGAGACCACATTAAGATAGAGGACATTACTTATGAAGAAAATAGTATCCAAGGAGACTGGTGGTCTCAGCCCTTGGGCACCCAGACGCATTGGGGACTGCAGAAGGACTGAGAGGGGGCATATGGGGTGAACTGGCCTGCAGCCGAGAGGGACAAGGGGGTGAAGCTTCAGCAGCGCAACACAGGGTGGAGACTCTTGGTTACTGCTACTCGCTTGGCTGGATCCTGGCTGGCTCGGCTAGCTTGCTTGAGTTGTTGGGCCTCTGTGGCTGGAATGCAGAGAAGTCCTCCACGGGAGATTAGATGGCAGCTCATTAGTTGAAAGCCTCCTCCACGGTTCTCCACAGCGGGATCCAAAGATGAGAGGGAGTCCATGGTTTTAAAACATTTATTGTCATGGTGGAAAGTGGATGAAGCTGTACACCCCCCCTCAGGGTGGGCCTGAGGTTAAATATCTTTTGTAAGGAGGAGGGTCTGAGAAGGAATGCTTAATTGGCTACACCCTCTGGCCTTTAGGTATCTCATTAATATGGAGATATCTTAAGACTCTGCAGCCTGTAGTCACGTCCTCTACCTGTGGAAGGGCTGTAGGGGTGTTGCCCTATGTGACTGAAAGGCACACAGATCAATAGAGGTCTTAGGCCTCCTGTCAGAAGCCTGGAATCTGGGAGCGTAGTGAAATGCATGCCGTCCCTTGCAGGGATACCTGTTGGGTCTCCAGCCATCTCTAGCCAGTGCTCCACCAGAAACCATGCTATCCTTTCACAGTCCCACAGTACTGGGTAGATTTAGTCCATGAACCTAACTTATTAAACTGTGACTTTCCCTGTCTCTGCTGTCCTGGCATCGGCACAGGGCCCAGTGCACAGAGGAGTGAAAGGCATACATTTGTGTGTGCAGGAGAGGCTGGATGGCAGATCCTTTGAGGGTGCTGTCTGGTGGAACACTGAAGAGGGAAGAGAGTGTAGAGTTAAGAGGGAGGCCAAGAGAGACTCCAGCTGCTCGTTCTTACTCCTCTATCTTCTTGGTAGGACTACAAAGACTTTGACAGAGTCAGAGTAGATGGCTGGGCTACCCTGTTCCTGAGAACCAGCATCCCTTCCATCAACATGGAGAACAAGACCACATGGGTGAGTAGGTGTGTTAACAAGGGCAGCAGCCTCAGGCCAGGCCACATAGCACAGAGCATCTCTAATAGGACAATGATGCTGGTCCTGATGCTGGAGGCTTGCCACCTTAGTTTCTTGGGAGCCAGGAGAATCATTAAGTCCCAGGTCTGCCTAGGCTATAGTGAATTCAAGACCAACCCCGGGCAACTTACTGGTATTCTGCCTCAAAACTAAACTGCCACTCGTGTCTGAATACTCACACCCAGGTTTTCAGACCTGTCAACAAGTGTCCTAGCCTTCTGAACCATCTTACCAGCTCTAGTTATTCATTTGGGGGCACCTAAGATCTCACTATTTAGCCCAGGATAGTCATAAAGGTTTAGAACAATCCTCCTGTCTTAGCCTCCCAAGTGCTGGTATTAAAGGTGTGAGCCACCAGGAGTGGCTTTTACTTTATCACAAGCCCAAAGTCACAAAGGAGGAATTAAAAACTTAGACACAGCCCCTCACAACTGCCTGTAACTCTACCTCCAGGGGATCAGACAACCTCTCCTGGCCTCCATGGGAGTCTCCACTAATATACACATATCCCCACAAAATGCACACACTTGGATACACACAATTTAATATTAAAATTTAATATTTAAAACGTAAAACCTGCTGGGCATGGTGGCACACGCCTTTAGTCCCAGTGCTTTGGAGGCAGAAGCAGGTGAATCTCTGTGACTTCGAGGCCAGCCTGGTCTACAAAGCAAAGTCCAGGACAGCCAGGGTGGTTACACAAAGAAACCCTGTCTAAAACAAAAACAACAAAAACAAAACCCTTTAGCTGAGTGTGCTGGTGCACACCTTTAATCGCAGCACTCTGGAGGCTGAGGGAGGTGGATCACTGTGCATTCAAGGCCAGTCTGGTTGGTCTACATGGTGAGTGCCAGGCCAACCAAGGCCACAAAATAGTGAGATCCTATCTGAAAAAAACAAACAAACAGAAATCAAATTAAACTAAAAGAAAGAAAGAAAGAAAGAAAGCCTTAAAAATAAAAGCAACAAGGAAGAGCTGTCTGCCCATCTGATTGGAAAATACTAAAAAGAGAAATGCCATCCCGCGATGCTCCATGGTGGGAAGCCTGCTGACGGGAGTATAAATTGGTGGCTCCTTTGTGGAGATGAGTTTGTCAATATTCATTAAAATTTAAAGCACCCATTCCCTTTGATCTAGCACATGCTCATATATTTCAAGGAGCTAACAGGACAAGTATGCAAAGATAAATGAAACTGTGGGGGTATTTTAGAGCCTCGTTAATAAGAACAGAGAATTGGGAAGGCTCTAAATGACCGTCAGTAGGAGACTGGCTCGATACAGTGTGGTCCATTTCTACAGTGACTGTGCACGTGCGGTCCTCAGAAGAGATCAGGTTGGCCTTTATCAATTGAGACAGAAAGATGATGTTATTCATAAAAAAACATGAGGTAGACAAAGCTTGCAGAAGTGTGCATGTAGTGTGATTCCATCAATGTGGTCCAGGTGTATTAAAAATACAGAGATTGGTTTTGGGCCCGAGCATAGAGTAGGTCGCAGGCGGCAGCTCCGTACTCAACCCCAGAAAACCGAGAGAAACAGGGACTCCCAGGAGCTTGAACTCACGCAGCATCCCAGGTAAGGTAAAAGCAACACTCTCCCCAAACAAGGAGCAACCGGGACCCACTGGGACCCAGGAATTCGCTCCTGGCCCGGGGCGGGCTCCATCCGGTCTGGGCCCGAGCACTCACAGGTCCCGGGAGGCAGCTCTGCACCCAATCTCGCAGATTCCAGAGGAAGCGGGGCTCGCAGGACCTCTGTACCAAGCAGGGTCTTGGGCTAGGAGGTGGCAGTGCTTGCCCCCAAACAGGGAGCAGCTAGGACCCACTGGGACCCAGGAATTCGCTCCTGGCCCGGGGCGGGCTCCATCCGGTCTGGGCCCGAGCACTCACAGATCCCGGGAGGCAGCTCTGCACCCAATCTCGCAGAATCAAGAGGAAGCGGGGCTCACAGGACCTCTGTGCCAAGCAATTTCTTAGGCTAGGAGGTGGCAGTTCTTGCCTCCAATCAGGGAGCAACTGGGACCCACTGGGACCCACTGGGACTCACTGAGACCCAGGAATCCTCTCCTGACCCGGAGCCCAGGCCCCTTCCGGTTTCCACCTGAACACTGAGCACATCTTGGGCCTCAGCTCTAACTCAAGCAGCAAAACTCATCCCAAACAGTTCTGACACAACCTAGATAATAGGAAAGACAGGCCCCAGTCAGAGACAGCACTGATAGCACAAAGGCGATCCAGATGGCGAAAGGCAAGCGCAAGAACACAAGCACCAGCAACCCAAGGTACTTGCCAGTATCAGAACCTAGTTCTCCCACATTAGAAAGTCCTGAACTCCCCATATCACCAGGAAAACAAGAACCAGATCTAAAATCACTTCTAATGATGATGCTAGAGGACTTCAAGAAAGAAGTAAATAACACTATCAAAAATACAGAGATAGCTCAGGAGGGCACATGGATGCATGCCTATAATCTCAGCACATAGGAGACTGAGACAGGATTAAAAGTTTGAGGCCAACCTGGGCTAACATAACAAGACCCTCTCCCCAAAATAAAAAAGTTCAGTTCAGAGATTTACTATTCACTTCTGCAAGTAAACCAGGCTGGCCTCTAACTCATGAAGAGCCACCTTCCCCTGCCTCCTAATGCTAGGATCAAAGGCCATGTCTGGCTTGTTTGTTTGTTTGATTGTTCTTTGGAGGTAGGGCCTCCTGTAGTCCAGGCTGGTCTTGAACTCTTGATCTTCTTGCCTCCTATTGGGATCACCAACATGCACTAACCACTGTTCACTGTGGAAACAGTCTTTTCCAGAGCACAGAATTACTAGAAACCTTTAATTTTCCCATTACCTGTTTTTGTTTGTTTGTTTGTTTGTTTGTTTGTTTTTTAAATCAAAATTATTTTAAAAGAAGTGAAAATCAACCATAATCATATAGAGAAGTTCTATTCCAAAAACTGGGATTGCAAACACTCCAAATTGGAAACATTTTGAGCCACAAATAAAACAAAATCCCACATTTGAAACACTTCTGGGCCGGGCGGTGGTGGCGCACGCCTTTAATCCCAGCACTTGGGAGGCAGAGGCAGGCGGATTTCTGAGTTCGAGGCCAGCCTGGTCTACAGAGTGAGATCCAGGACAGCCAGGACTACACAGAGAAACCCTGTCTCGAAAAACCAAAACCAACCAACCAAACAAACAACAACAACAAAAATGAAACACTTCTGGTCCCAAGCATCTCTGGCGCTGGCTATTTAACCTGTACATACACATGCATACGGTACATAATGAACAAATACATGCCATTGTAGAGGGAAAAAAACCATGCCAATCGCTATGCATTGTCTGTGTTTTCAATAATTGTGAAGAGCTTGCCATGTAGCCGGTGTCACTCATGGGAGCAGTCTACTCATGCTAACCATGTTTAACCCTGTCCAACAGCCCTTGAAGTAGGGAATTATCATTCCCAGATTACAGACGGTAACAGAGATGTTGAGTGACTTGTTCAAGGCTACTCAGCCAGTGAATAGCAATGCTGGACTTGAGCTCAAGTAGCCCAGCTCCCGAATGCATGCTTTTGGCCATGGCTACACTGTAAAGTAGCCACAGATAATCTCTCCAGAGCACACGAAAGATCTAGAGAGAGAAGAAAGTACTACACTAGCCCAAGGTCACACAACTTATCAGGAACAGAGTTGATATGGCAAGTCCAGATTCGTGTGTCACAAACTCAGACACCAGGCTACCTACCATATCTAAGCCTGCCCCTGAGGCCAAATCTGAGTCTAAGAACACAGCAACCTACCAGTGTCAATGAGTCCTACGGGGGCTTTTTTTAAAAAAAACTCTTTGACTGCCCCCTAGTGGTTGCAGGTCAAACAACAGGGACACAGGCCGGGCAGACACCGGTGACCAAATGTCGGGTCTCAGCAGGCTAACCCAGGCCGAGTCTCTTCTCTCTCCTCTGCAGTTCTCAGTGGACATTGACTCAGAGCTGGTGGAGGAGCTGCCGGCTGAGATCGAGCTGTGGTTGGTGCTTGTGGCCGTGGGTGCTGGGTTGCTGCTGCTGGGGCTCATCATCATCCTGCTGTGGAAGGTAGAGACTCTCGGCCTGCTGGGGCTTCCCACTTCAGACCCCTTGGCAGCGCCAGCATGGCTCACCCGCCCTCCATCCCGTGGCTCTGCAGCCCATTCCTCATCTCCATCTCAGCTGCCCTTTCCCAGATACCCCTTGCCCCTCCCACTAGCTTACGGTCCCACCCACGCCTGGGGAGCTGCAGGCTGCGAAGGGGTCTGGTATCTGACTACCTACCAAGCTGGGCTCAGGACTTAGCTTTCCAGGTTCCTCACCTCTAAGCCCCAGCTCCCCAAGTGCTGATAGCCAGGTCTACCAGCACCCCTGATGGCCATCCCCACCTCCTCCCTCCAGTGCGGCTTCTTCAAGCGAGCCCGCACTCGTGCCCTGTATGAAGCTAAGAGGCAGAAGGCTGAGATGAAGAGCCAGCCGTCAGAGACAGAAAGGCTGACCGACGACTACTGAGGGGGCAGTCCCCCTGCCCCGGCTCACCCGGGTAACACGGCCTATGAATCTCCTCTCCAAACCCCCAGCTGGCTGGGGCTTCTGATTCTGTCCTGTCTGCTCCTCTTGTCTTGGGGTCTGCTTGGATCTAACTTGTCTACCACCTCAAAGTACAGGCCAGCCTGGTTGCCCCTGGTACCCCGACCTCCACCTGGTTCTCAGGAGCTTAAACTCCCAAGAGTATGCTGGGAAATCCTTCCAATGAGTGTGCTGCTTTCTGGAGGACCAGAAAAGAGAAATAGTCAGGGCTAGACCCTGTTTCTGTCTGATCACTAGCATGTCCACAGTAACTCTAAGTCCTCTCTCCTCCCACAAGGACAGAAGGGACCAAGAGAGGCCAATCTCTTTTGTCTTGAGTCCCACCATCTCCCTAGCATAACCGTCTTACCTACCTCTAGTACTGGCCATTGAGACCACCCCATCTTCCTGCCCCACAGTCTCTGCAGCCGCTTAGTCTCCACCTGCCTCTGCTCTCCTCTGTGTCTTCCTCAGCCCCTCCTTCCTCTGGGCCTGGGGTGGGGGTGTTCATCTGCCCATCTCATACTGAAGTTGGGATGTTTGAGTTATGGCCTGTTGTAAGGACCCTATGGGGGTGGGGGTGCACATCTTCTCCTGCTTGAATCCTGGATACTGACACAATTTCTCTTCTGCCTAAACTCCAGTGTGACTTCTTTAAGCCAACCCGCTACTACCGGATTATGCCCAAGTACCATGCAGTACGTATCCGGGAGGAGGACCGCTACCCACCTCCAGGGAGCACGCTACCCACCAAGAAGCACTGGGTCACCAGCTGGCAGATTCGGGACCGATACTACTGATTGCCTTCCCTGACAAACCTCTCAGCGCTCCCTTCCTTCCTATTTATCATAAATTATGACTCCAACAGTCCAAAAGGGACCATACACTCGGCTGGCACCAGCAGGCTCAGGCATCTATCCCTCTTCAGTGCAGGCATGTCTTCTGGGGCCCTGGAATCTCCTTCAAGACCTTGCAATGCTGAGCAGAGTACAGCCCTGCACACTGAACACACACACACAAGGCCTACTGCTAATGGCCTGTTTTGATAGACCATGGAGGGTGCCATGTCCAAGTCTTTGTCTGTGCCAAAAGCAAACCAAAGCGCCTCCACTGGGAGACAGGAGGAAAAGTTCCCTGATGTGGTGACACCTCTCCTCCACACTGGATCCCCCTTGAGCCATTGTCACTGGACAGAGTTCACTGTCCAGAATAAAACTACTGACAAGGAGGAGACAGTCAAGCCCAGCTGCAATTCCTGGCATGCACTGGAGCGCAGGGCCACACTAAAGGCTACCCAGGGGATGTTCTTATGACCTGCGTGCTCGGACCCAAGAGCGATGAACTAGAAAGCAGGTCCCCAGAATGGGCTTTATGAGTGGCTCTCTAAAATTGTGGCTACAGATAGAGTTGGCAAGAAACGCAGCCCAAAGGAACAATGAGAAACCGTGGGCAGCCTGGGACACACTGTGCTGGGACTGACCTGGAGCACGGTGGCATCCTCCAGAGAGCAGGGTCGTGGCGCAGCAGACGTTGGGAGGGTGAAGAGGAGAGACTTCTGATCCATCCTGACCACCTCAGCCTGGGCAAGGCCTGGAGATCCCCACAAGACCACGTGGGGTGTGATACTTGAATGTAGGGCAGGGGAGGGCCCAGCCCCTGCCCCAGTTGGCCAGACTTAACTCTGCTCCCTTGAGCACAGAGATACATTCTGAGCTGCCTGTGGCTTTCTGAGAAACCTAGCCCTTCCCCTCTCCTAGGAGCTGCATCCCCATACTAGCAGTGGAGGCTGCTTTCTCAGGTCCTCTCCACATCCCTGACCACAGGCAGCCCCACTCCCCTGCTCTGTCCCCTCCACCCCACGGTACTACAACAACTTCCCCCATCCTGTGCCTTCTTTGTATATGGGCTTCTCACTAAAATAAATAAAAACAGTTCCCAGTTTGTACTGCTGTGTCTGTTCCTAGCCGCCCCCACTCCCCCCCCAAACCCCCACTCCCCAGTCCTGACCAATCTCAGTTCAATCTGGAGGGGTGATGACCTTCCCTAGCTGGTCCCTTGATGATGGACCTAGCATCCTACAGCAAGCCATGCATGAGAGATTTTGATTGGAGCCCAGAGTTCACGGAAATCCAGTTTTAGGGAGAGTGCCGTGGAGGAGTGCTCTCCTCCCCTGTGGCCTGTCCCCGCTGTGTTCATTTTGACATCAAACACTTCCATTTAGGCTCCGGGCTTGGATTTGTCGAGGGAAGGGAGTTGAGAAAGGACCTCACGCATCTCCAGCTGAGCTCAAACAATGTAGGTCAGGATGGTCTTGAACTCATCCTCTCCCGTGCCAGGGTATCAGGTTTGACCCAAGCTGACTTTGGGAAGGGAGAGAGGGAGCAAGGGGAGAGACAGAAGTCCCATCCACTTTGCCTGGCCCTTGAATGTACACCACCTGTGCCATCTGCCACCTCTAACTGTTAGGCTGGTAGATGTCTAGGGATCCTCACTCACAGCCCTGAAGCCCCTCTGCCAACCTCACTTCCTATCTTCAGTCTGTTTACTTTACTACATGCCAGGCTCCGTGCCCAGCACTGCAGATAAAGCAATGGCCAGGTCAAACACAACCTTAAGCTAAAGTCCAGTGGGGAAGACCCATGAATCAGCAGTTAGCCCATTTTGCGAGAAGCTCTCATGCCGTCGTAAGATCAGGAGAGGCATGCAGGGAGCCCAGCCCAGCACAGGAGCTCAGCAAAGGTTTCCTGGAGGAGGAGATGACTAAGCAGCCAAGATCTGAAGAATAAGTACAAGAGGTTGAGAAGAATAATACACACACAGACACACACACCCCTCTTCAAGTAAAAAGAGATTGTCAATGGATTAAAGATTAGAGGCTGGGGCAAGATGGAAGGTATATAGTGTTGGGAGTTGAGCCTGGGAATGTCAAAAGATGAAGCTAAGGAAAGGAGCCAAAGCGGATATTGGGACAACTGGAAAGGCGCCAGTAAGAGGTGGAGAGGCGGAACAGGAGAAATGGCTGAGCAGTTAAGAGTCCTTACTGTGCTCCTGTACAGGACCTGGGCTGTGTTCCCAGCATCTACATCAGGCAGCTCATAACCTGTAACTCTAATTCCAGGCAATCAGATGCCCTCCAGCCCCCACAGGCACCTGTGTGCTTGTGGTAATGCGAAAACTCACTCGGGTACACATACATACAGATTACAGAGCCTTCTTTAAAAATTATTATTTGTCGTCATTGTTGATTTTGTTGTTGTTTGTTTGTTTGTTTTAAGATAGGGTTTCTCTGTATAGCCCTGGCTGTTCCTGGAACTCATTCTGTAGACCAGACTGGCCTTGAACTCTGAGATCATCCTGCCTCTGCCTGGGATTAAAGGTATACAATGATACTTTTTTTTTTTTTTAAGTGAAAAGGCTCTGAGTAGGGAACCGACAAGGTCAGATTTGTGGTTGAGAATGCTTGCCGATTCTGTTTTCCTGTCTATGAAATGGAGAGAATGATATAATAATCCAGGCAAACAGTGCCTGGCACACAGCGTTATGAGATTGATTGGGGGTCAAACCCATAGTCTTGCAGATTCTAGGAAAACACTCTACCACTGTGATACTACCAGTTCAACCCCACCTCCTCTCCCTTTATGAGAAAAGATCTTATTAAATTACCCAGGCTGTACTTGAACTCACACTACCTCAGGTAGGCCTTGAACAGAATTCCTCCTGCCCCAGCCTCCAAGAGTAGCACCAGGCCCTAGTAAAGGCCAAGCCTTGATCCTGCCTGTGCTTCGCAGGGGTGTTGTAAAGGCGGGTAAACCACTGAATAATCAATAGAAAAGAATTAAGAGACCCACGAAGGCCCAGAGAGTGGGGAACATACCTAGTTTTACCAAGAGAGGGCGCATGACATTTCGCAGGAAAGAGGCAGGGAACTGCTAGGAAGATGGGCCTGGGCTCTCAAGCTTATAAGATGCCTTAGCTCCCGGGGACTTGCAATAAGGAAGCCAGCGGCACAGACAGTTGCCGTCTCAGGTTGGGTGCACAGAAGGTTGCTTTCTCAGGTGGTCATGCAAGACGCGCAAGTTTTTATGCTCAGTCAAACGATATAGGTAATAATAAAATGGAACTTCTTAAAATTAGCACTGACGGTAGCTCCTGCCCCCGCCACTGTCAGTCCTGAGGGGTTTGGCTCCGACTGTTTGTGTTGTTTTTCAAGTGCCAGAGATCAATACAGGGCTTCATGCATGCTGAACAAATGCCATGCCCTCTGAGCTACACTCCTACCCTAATTTTGGATGTTTTTCACGAAAAAAAAAAGAAAGAAAAGGGCACCTTTTCCTGGGCCTCTTGGATATTTATGGAAGTCAGCGGGTTGCACGCATATAGGATAGCTTAGTATAAGCGTGCATCCTGGTTCCGCATTTGCAAGTGTTCATTTGGGTCCATCATAGGAGTGAGAAACCATTATGAGCCCCTATGGCAGAATAGGTAAGCAGGTTGTCAGGTCAAACAGGTGCCTTTAGGGAAGGGACAAGGCAGGGAAAGGAGGGTTAAAGAAGGAGACGGGCATGAACCAGGGAAAAGTAGAAGGTCAAACGAACTAAGCTTAGCGGGACTCTGGGAAAGAAGGGGTTAACTTAGGGCTCGCCCCTAAGAAGTCCGTGGTAGTTGGCGACGGGAGGCGGGACTTAAGCACAGCCCAGGAAAACAACAGGCCGTCTCCAGCACCTTCACGGTTAAGGGGGTGGGCCCCGTGGAGAGCCACGTGTCGAAGCGCAAGGCTATTGGTTCTTCTGGAGTTGTTTGTGCGCGGCCATTGGCGACGTCGGTGCGCCGGGACAAGCCGATTGGCTAGGCGTTGGAGGCACCGCCAGGGCAAGGGTAGGGAGGGGGCGGCCGGAGCTCGTCTCCCGGCTAAGCTGGGCCGAGCGGAGGGCTGGTGCCAGCGCCTCCAGCTCCGGGACAGCAGCGGGAGCCAAGCCCGAGCCGCAGGCGCCGTCGCCATGCGCTGGGTCCGGGCGCTGTTGAAGAATGCGTCCCTGGCAGGGGCGCCCAAGTACATCGAGCACTTCAGCAAGTTCTCCCCGTCCCCGCTGTCCATGAAGCAGTTTCTAGACTTTGGTACGGAGTCGGCGTAGGCGGGCACCGGGGGCGGTGGGCGCGGGGAAGGAGACCCTGGCAATGAGAGGTTAACGTCCGAGGAAGAGGTCCTGGGTGACAGGAGGGTTGGCTTGAAAGAGTCTGGACAGGAATGGGTAAACGGCGAGGCCAGCCTGGCTGCCCACAAAGAGTTAAGAGTTCCCTCTTCACAGTTAACTAAGAATGGGGGCGCGGAGAAAGCGTTGCGAGGAATTGTGGAGAGTAAAAGGCAGTGAGGGTGTAGGAGCCCATCTAGACATGATAGGGTTAGTGGGGGATCCCGGACGTTGCGAGTGGGCGGCTAGGAGTAAATAAGGGGCATGCTGCTGGGAGTGCTAAGGAGATTCAGCCATCTGGAAGACCTGTGCTGTGTATGAAGGGTGGGGGTACTTCTGAACAGACCAAGGGAGAAATCCCGGGGCAGGTGGGAAGGGGGCCCCTTGAGTAGGAGGTGCTAACAGGAGGAGCTCCCCTGACTGGTGAGCCTCCACTCACTGCAGCTGCCCACTGGGCAAGGACACTTGAAGATCAAATTGGTTCTGGCCTGGCAGCATTTCCTAGCTGAGCAGAGCCCAACTTACCATGAGGTAGTCAGGTGGCTTGCACCCTCCCATGGCTATCCCTGGGTTTCTGAAGATTACCCACTCAGTGTTGTGAGGGTTGAGGTGGTTTTGGGGGCAGGAGAAAGCTGTGCCAAGTGGTGGATGGCGACATTGTGTGGCCCTGTCTGTCTACATGGCATTCCCGTGGTGCCAGCTGGTGATCAGGAGTAGGCCCAGGTCTTTCAGGAGTTGGCTGTGTCACAGGCATGGGGACAGGGAGATGGCAGACAAGACTTGGGCACCTGTTTTCTGGGATGTGCTTTTGTTACTCCCTGTTCAGTTGGAGTTGTGAGCTTTGCTCTTGTAGGAAATCCTCCAGGGCCCACTCCAACCAAGTCCCAGCAAAGTGTCACAGCTAGAAGGGACTACCTATGTGGGGAACACTGATGATATACGGTAGGTTACAGAAGCAAGGCCTGGTTGTGATCCCAGGTCTCCTGTCTCTAGGCTGACACTGCTCATTCCTCTACTGCCTAATAATCTTGACCCTGGACCAAGGTTCCCATTTGCCTCACAGATGGTCATTAACGTGGCCAATTCTACATTGGCATTCATCTGTTTCCTCAGCCTGCCTCAAGGATAATGCTGAGTTCCTACAGTCCTGGGAACCTAGTCCTAGCACCCCAAGGAGGGAAGGATTTCTTAGGTACCTCAGCGCCCTGGGCTAGTCCTTCAGGATGAGTGCCTACCTAGAGGGATGGAAAGTAAAGAAAGGTGAGTTAGGTCAGAACAGTTCAGAGTAAGCCCCGGGAACATTTTGTTTCCCTGGTTAAGAACAGAGTTTTAACTGAGGGTCAGCGGGTGATACATTCTGTTCCTTAAGTGTCATCCGGGTGGTAGGATGTCTGGGGAAGGCTCAAGCACTGTAAGGCTCGGAGGGCTACCTTGCTGTGTGCCACAGATGGGTCACATAGTCATTTCAGCTGGCCCAATCTCCAAATGCGTGACTGTTCCCGTGGTCTCCAAATGCGTGACTGTTCCCGGGGTCTGCAGCTATTGATCGACCCCTCTGTCATCCTCAGGATCCAGCAATGCCTGCGAGAAAACTTCCTTCACTTTCCTCAGGCAGGAGCTGCCCGTGCGCCTGGCCAACATCATGAAAGAGATCAACCTGCTTCCTGACCGAGTGCTGAGTACCCCCTCGGTGCAACTGGTGCAGAGCTGGTGAGGTCCCTGGCATTCTGCCACCCCTCCATCCTCACCATGTTCC